CCGAGGAAACAGACCACTGGGAGGCATTCATGGATGCACGAGTGACATTTGCAGATAGCTCCCCCCAGTCTGACTGTTCATTGTGTTTAGGCGGCTTGGGGAGGTGGGCAGAGGGGGAGTGCAGGCGCTGGCTGCACAGGCCTGGGCTCTGTGGGACTGCAGCTGTCCCCTCTGTGCCCAGCCGTGGTGATTCAGGCAGCCTGCCCTCTTCCTGTGCACCTCAGTTTCTTCACTAGTGAAAGGGAAAGACTGCTACAGCCTTGCAGGGTCTCTAGGAGAATATAAGCTGACATCGGTTAAAAAAAATGTCTGTTGCAGAGGGACATAGCAGCTGTGATTGCGTTTAGCTGACTGGTAAGATTTGGGAGGCGTTTTGCTTTTTCCTTTTCTCTCCTGGCAATTTGAGGCTGTGCTTTGGTGTCAGTTCTATCTCACAGGGGGCACGCAGCTTGCCTATCTAGGGTCTCTGCCCGTGATTGGAGAGAAGGAAGTGGTTCAGGCTGACGATGAGCCCACCTTCTCTTTCTTCAGTGGCCCCTACATGGTCATGACCAGGTAAGCGGGGGCTGGCCGGTGGGGGCTGATGTCTCGGGAACAGTGGGCCGCGTGGGACTTCCTTCTCTGTGGAGTTTCTGCTCGAACACAAGGGAACACTCAGAGATGTTTAAACCAGGATTTCTCAACCTTTTGAGACATTTGGGCCAGATGAGCCTTTGCTGTTGGGGACAGTCCTGGGCACCGTGGGCAGCACCTGTAGTCCACCCATTGGATGCCAGCAGCAGCCCCTCACACCCGACACCCTCACACTGCTCGCAGTTGTAACCTGACTGCCTACAGGCATCGCCAGCTGTCCTGGGGGAGAGCTACTGCTCTTCAAGATTATTCTCTACAGTTTAGTCCTCTGCTTTTTACAGAACTAGAGGCACTTAGTGGTGATTGTCTTACCTCTGATACTGGCCCGGGGTATTGAGGCCCATGTAAAAATGAACGGGCATCGGCTGTGGCTCTAGCCAACCAAATGCAGCAGATGTGGCAGCAGCAGGACTCGCTTATGACCACAATCCCTGGGTGGTCTCAGTCCCAAGAGACCCAGCCCTTGCAGGGTCATGGGAGCTGTCCTGGCCAATGTCTCTCAGCCCCCTCGAACCTGCAGTTTCTTTCCCACTTAGAAGAAATGCCCTTCTAAAGACCTCTGCCTGATTCCCAAGGCCTCTAATTCCCTGCACATAGGCTTCTTGGTTTTCTGCCTGTAATACTGATTTGTTATCAGATCTCCTCCTCTCCATGCCATGGCTGCTGCCTGTGCCCAAGTCATTGCTGTCCCTCTCCCACACTGGCCTCCCGTTCTCTGGGCGACTCTGTCTTACCTGTTCCAGCCCTGCTGGTACCATTGTCTTTCCAAATTCAGACCTGATCAGTCGTTTCTTCCCGTGAATCCTGCAGGACTTCCTGCCACCTGCTCCTAAGTTCCCTGGGGTGCTTCAGTGCCTGGGGATATTGGGGGGAAGACCCAGCGGTGTGCAAGGGGCGTTGCAGATTCTGTGTAACAAGCACCGCCTCTCGTCCTTGCCTGGGGAAGCTCTCTCCCTGAAGATATGGCTTCTCACCCCTTCTGATCCAACTCTCCTGCCCCTGTAGCCTGGTGTGGAACGGGAGCAGGGTCACAGTGAAGGAGCTGGATCTGCCCACCCACCCACACTGCAGCAGGCTGCGGCTGGCCGACTTGCTGATCGCTGAGCAGGAACACTGCAGGTGAGGGGAGGCCTAAGCTGTAGACCTGTACGGGGTTGGGGGTCCTTTACAGACCCCGGCCCCAGGCTGTGCCCCACAGCAGCCCCTTCAGCCTCAGCATTTCTCAGCTGTCTGAACTGGTTGACTCAACAGACAGGAGGAGGACCTAATGACTAGCCTGGGGGTGAGGACGGTAGAGGTGTGGCAAAGTTCTGTCAGTGTCCCATAACCCATGATCCTGGGTGGTTCAGCCTCCAGATCTGTCTGGTTCCCCTGCTGCAGCCCCTGCAGCCCATCCCATTTAGGGCCAAGTGCCTGTCAGCATGCAGCTGTCCTGTTTTCTTTTTCTTTTCTTTCTTTCATTTTTTTTTTTTTTAATGTTTTTGCCATAGGGCGCATGTGCTCACCAGAGAGACAGAGGGAAAGTGAGAAATCACTCTGGGGGGATGGCCACGCCCCAATTGCTTCTCCATTCTCCTGGGATTTTGGGCATGCACTGCCCACAATTGGACATGAGCCTGGCCTGATTTTCAAGCATCCAGGCTGGGACTCAAACCGTGGTTGGCCATGAGGGAGTCAGCACCTTCACCACCACGCCACTGCTGGCCCATGGGGGGACGGCCACACCATAATCCCTTCTCCTCTATTCTCTTGGGATTTTAGGCATGGGGACACACGTGCCCACTGTGTCTTTCAAGCCTCTTGATCAGGGACTCAAAGCAGGCACTCAGCCATGTGGGATTTAGCCACCTTAGTACTATGCCACTGACTGGTCCATTACCTTTCTTTTCTTTTTTTAAGAGGTTTTTGCTGTAGGGTGTTTGTGCTCACCAGAAAGACAGAGAGAGACAGGAAACGAGAAATCACCCCCCAGGGAGATGGCCATGCTGCAATCCCTTCTCCTCCATTCTCCTCTTGGGATCTTGGGCACACACACACACACACACCAAGCTTGAGTTTAAGCCACCAGGTCTGGGACTCGAACCATGGTCGACTACATGGGAGTCCAGTGACACAGCCATTATGCCAACTGCTGGTCCCGTCTTGCCAGGTGGTTGTTAGGATCTGAGAGGATGAAATAGAAGCAGGCGCATGCCTCTCTCAGTAGCTCTTAGCACTGTGTCATTATTGCCATTGATGACTCTCGGCCCTCGGGTTCTGGCTAGCTACAGGTCACAGGGTCCACCAAGAGAGGCCCCCACCTCACCCCCACCCCATCGTGTCTTAGGAAAATGGCGTACAAGTGGTATTTGTTTAGAATGTGTTCACAGGGCCTAGAGGAGAGGATAGCACCCATTTTTTTCATCGTGTCCTCCTCCCCTCACCTCAGCTGAAGCTCCTTTTCTTTTGCAGCAAGCTGCGGCACCCCTACCTGCTGCAGCTGATGGCTGTGTGCCTGTCCCAGGACCTGGAGAGGACCCGCCTGGTATACCAGCGTGTCACGGTCGGCACTCTGTTCAGCGTCCTCCACGAGCGAGTAACGGCTGTTTCTGTGGATCTCCCTCGCTCTCCTCCCCGCTCACCCCCATCCCGGCCGCAGAGTCCCGTCTGCACAAGCACACCAGATAACCCTTAGTTTTTTTACTGTGGGCTGGGCTCCATGCCGTTTCAGGCTGCCACGTGCATGGCAGAGCGAGCGTGGCTGTGTTGCGTCAGTCCTGCTCCTTTATCAG